GATCTGTTTTTCGCCCGCGATAGGGGAAGCTGGGGCGTCCGACACCGAGCCCCTTGCGCGACCCGGCGACCTGGTGACCACTTCGAGCTCCTCCCGGGCCAGCTCCTTGCCGCGCGCGTGGGCTCCTGCTGCACACCGGGCCACCCGAGCTCTCGACCTGCCGGCTCGGGCAGGCCCAGGACCGGACTCGTTCCGAACAGCGTGAGAGCGTTCCGGAGCGCTCTGGAAAGGCCGCGGCCACCACCGGGTCTCAGAGATCCGTGACATCCGACGCAGCGAAAAGCAAGCAACATCGTGAAACTCACGACCAGGGCCCCAGACCCCATCCTTACGCGCAATGCTTGGAGCCAGGTCGATCTGTGAGGGTCCCAGGGCCCGAAACTCGGAGAAGACGCCCGGCTCGCAAGACGCCAGGATCCAGGGGGAGTCTGTCCCGGTCCTGGCCTCGTCTTGCAGGGGGCCCCCTGACCTCTCGACCTGCATCTCCGGGGCCGACGCGTCGCCCGCGGGCCGAGGTCGCTGCCGGCCCCTGGAGCAGCCCCGGGACGCTAGCATTAAGTCGGGCCTGTCCCTCTACAGGAGGAAGATTCAAAAATAGCAAAAGATAGTATGGGGACGATTTTCCGATTATTCTTGACATGCTTTGTTATTTCTTGCCCATTTTTCATCTTCCGCTCCACATCCGCCTGTAGGAGGACGTGCCCGACCTAACGCTAGCAAAGGCGACACAGCTTTCTTGAGGCCGGGCGAGCCTCTGTAGGCGCGCAGCGCGCGCGACGAGGCCACGGGCTGAAGGTAGGCTCTTCTAGGCCTCCCACATGGGGTCCGAGTAGATGGGGTCGAAGGATCGCGCCGCATCGCCGATGCATCGTGCCGATGCGGCTCGATGTGGAACCCGATCTTCTCTACATCGACGCCGCCAGTGTACCGCCGACGTCGAGGATGCAGCGATGTCGAAGATGCCTCGCCGATGCGGAGCGCTCCTTCGACCCCGTCTACCCGGACCCCGTTCGAGAGGCCTCTGGCTCCCCTCCCATGCCGTGGGCCCTGGCCTCGCAGGACGGCGTGCTGCAGCGCCAGCTGAGGGCGAAGGCGAACGAGCACAAGTGGGAGGCGCCCGTGCCGCTGCGCGCGCCCCGGGCCGCTCCTTTCGGCCTCGTCGGCGGCGCTCTGTGAAGGGTTATCGGTCGACTACAGGCTTGAGAGTGACCTTTCGCCGGAGTGACCTCTGATGCGGGCCCAATGCGGTCCCCCCGATCGCCGAACGCGAAGCTGTAGCAGCGGCTTGCGCGCCCAGGTTTGGCCACCCCGCGTCAGTGACCTCTGATGCGGGCCCAATGCGGTCCCCCCGATCGCCGAACGCGAAGCTGTAGCAGCGGCTTGCGCGCCCAGGTTTGGCCACCCCGCGTCCGTCGTCGAGCCGCGCACCAAAGGTCACCCTTGCCCAGGGTCACTCTTGCGTGTAGCCGAGGTTACGGGGCGCAGTGGGCTTTCCCGTCCTGCCGCTGCCCCGCCCGCAGGGTGTTCAAGGCAGGGCAGCCTGCTCAGGATGGTGCGCTGTGAGGAGGAGGAGGAGGAGGAGGAGGAGGAGGAGGAGGAGGAGGAGGAGGAGGAGGGAGAGGAGGAGGAGGATGAGGAGGAGGAGGATGATGATGATGATGAGGAGGAGGAGGAGGAGGAGGGACATGGACGATGACATGGGGGAGGAGGAGGGGGAGGAGGAGGAGGAGGAGGAGGAGGAGGAGGAGGAGGAGGAGGAGAAGGAGGAAGGCGAGAAGGAGGAGGAGGCGGAAGAGGAGGAGAAGGAGGAGGAGGAGGACTCGGCACGACACTTCAGCCAACAGTTAATTGGTAACAGGAGGAAGAGGAGGAGGAGCAGGAGGAGGAGGACGGGGAGGACGACCAGAGTAAACCCAAGATGTATCAACGATGCTTCAATACACCCTCCCGTTCCAAGTCCCCTCTTCATATGAGTCCCTGCAAGCTTCTGTTTCCACTGCAAGAAGCGCCTCCTTCAAAGACCGGCACCCTGTGGTCTGCCACTGAGGCGATGTTCTAGTTTTGATAAGGAGCTCCCTTGCATTGGAGGGGTTCTCCTCCTCCTCCTCCTCGTTCTGGTCCTCCTCCTCCTCCTCCATCTCCTCCTCCCCATCCCCCTCCACCTCCTCCTCCTCCTCGGGTCGCCTACGGCCCCGGGGGAAATCGTGCACCTTGCATCCTTCTCGTCGATGATAAGGAATGCGATAAGTATGGGCACCCAGTTCAACGAAGCGTCCAGCGGGATCCCCGTTTAGAGAAAGCACCGCCCCCATCCATTGAACGGCTGCACAAGGTTACACTTCTGGGCATGAACTTCGAGGAAGTGCAACGCCCGAGTCCCATATATCGAAAAGGTTCCGCCATACACATGTGTACTTGCTGCAAACTAGCGAATGCGCGCGGAGCGACGGCGGGAGCTCCATGTTGGAAACTCCCCCCTTCATCCTTGTGTTTGTTGCAAGCTTTTAGGCCGAATGTGCTCGGCACTTGGGCGAGAGACCCGTTTTGAAGAGGTTCCGTTTTATTCCTTGCAAGCGGTTGAAAGCTTTTAGCGCGAATGCGCGCCGCGCTAAGGCGAGCGCCTTATGTTATACACGATCTGTGGTCCACCCGTGTCGTTGCTACAAGCTTTTCAGGCGAACGTGCGCGGCGCTCAGGCGATGGCCCGATTTTCAGAACGGCTTGTGCTCCATCAGCTGATCAGCGTCAAGCTTTCAACACGAATGTGCGCGGCACTCAGGTGTGAGCCTCTCTACGGTTCCCCTCCACCCTTTTAGCTGTCCTGGTATCAAGCTCCAGCTTCAAGAGTGGCCAGGGAGTCCCAGCTGAAACGCCCAGCCCGCCCTGCCGACACGTCTTGTGGAGCAGGAGCTACCTAAAATAAAAAGGGGGTCAGGATGGGGTTGGGCGGTGGGGGGGGAGGCGTGCCTCCTACTCGTCCTCCCTCCTTCCTTCTCCCCTGGCTCCCTGCCTCCCTCCTCCTCCTCCTCCTCTTCCTCCTCCTCCTCCTCCTCCTTCTCCTCCTCCTCCTCCTCCTCACGCTCTCCCTCCCCCCCCCAACCCCTTCCCCCGATTCCTCCTCGTCCTCCTCCGCCCCCTCCTCCTCGTCCTCCTTCCCCCCCTCCTCCTCACCATCTCCATTACCATCATCGTCACCCTCATCAGCCGCATCACCATCACCTACAGCATCATCATTATCATCATCATCATCATCATCATCATCATCATCATCATCACCATCATCATCATCAGCAGCATCAGCATAAATAGCAGCATCACCATCATCATCACCATCATCAGCAGCATCATCAGCATCAGCATCATCGTAATCAACATGATCATCACCAGCAGCATCATCTTAGTCACCAGTATCAGCATCGGTAATAGCATCATCATCATCATCATCATCTTTAAAAGCAGCATCATCATGTTCAGTGTCAACATCATCTCCAGCATCACCTTCATCGGCATCCTCGTCACCATCATCATCATCATCATCATCAGCATCATCATCATCATCACCATCTTCTGCATCACACGCATCATCACGACAATCGTCAGCCCCACCATCATCATCACCAGCAGCATCACCATCATCAGCATCATCATGATCGTTGCCACATTCATCGTTATCCGCATCGTCATCATCAACATCATCAACAGCGCCATCACCCACCACCACCAACATCATCTTCTGCATTGACACCGCCATCATCAGCATCATCATCAGTATCATCATCACAATCATCACCCGCATCACCATGAACAGTATCATCACCATCATCATCACCATCAGCACCATCGTACTCCTTGTCATCATCAGCAGCATCACCATCGCCATCATCAGCATCAGCATCAGCATCATCATCAGCATCATCATCATAATCATCATCATCATCATATTCCTCATCATCATGTTCACTATCGCCTTCCTCATCAGCATCACCATCGTCGTCACCATCACCACCACCACCATCAGCATCATCATCATCATTGTCGTCGTTGTCTTCGTCGTCGTCGTCGTCATCACCATCAGCGTTAGCAGCACCAGCATCATTGTCGCCCCTCACGCGCTCCAGGGCCTGCCGAAGGTGCTCATGGTGGCCGAGAAGCCCTCGGTGGCGAAGATGATTGCCGAGTGCCTCACAGGCGGCAGGGGCATGCGGTACAGGAGCCCCCAGACCACATACACGCACACACACTGTCCTGGCCTGCTCGCGCGCGGGCGGGGAGAGGGGGGGGGGTGCGGTGAGGGGGAGGTGCGAGATGGGCAGGCGGAGAAGTAGGCGGAGGAAGAGGAGGCGAAGGATTAGGATGAGGATGAGGACGAGGGCGAGGGTAATGCTGATTACGACGTTGTCGTTATTGTTGTTCTTGCTGTTGTTGTTGTTGTTGTTGTTGTTGTTGTTGGTGTTGTTGTCGTTACGGAGGGTGGTGATGAGAATGATGATGATGAGGATGCTGATGATGATGATGCTGATGATGATGCTGATGATGATGCTGATGATGGTGCTGCTGATGATGATGGCGATGAGGAATGTGATGATGATGGTGATGATGCTGATGATGATGAATAAGATGCTGCTGATGATGCTCATGACGGTAATGCTGATAATGATGTTGGTGGTGGTGATGTTGATGATGGTGGTGGTGATGGTGATGGCGATGGTCATTGTGATTGTGATGGTGATGACGCTGGTGGTGCTGACGATGGTGGCGATGATGGTGATGATGTCGATGATGATGCTGATGATAATGATGCTGATACTGATGATGATGCTGACGATGATGCTGATGACGATGATTCTGTTGATGGTGGTAATGATGATGATGATGGTGATGATGATGATGATGATGATGATGATGATGATGATGATGATGATGACGATGACGATGACGATGAGGATGAGGATGAGGATGAGGATGAGGATGAGGATGAGGATGAGGATGATGATGATGATGATGATGATGATGATGATGATGATGATGATGATGATGATGACGATGAGGATGAGGAGGAGAGGAGGGGGGGGAGGAGGAGGAGGAGGAGGAGGTGGAGGAGGAGGAGGAGGAGGAGATGGAGGAGGAGGAGGAGGAGGAGGAGGAGCGCTCAACCTCCTGCCATTCTCATGTGCTTGCGTCTTGCAGGCCCTGCGGATACGGACGTGGCCGCATGCAGCAAGGCAGTGGGAGATATTTGGAAGCAGGGGCCGTCCCAGGACCTCCAATAGGTCGAGTCCTCGGCGGTCTGGATCTGGATCTAGCTGGGAGGATCACTGCTTCTGGGACTATGTCTCACCTCACCCTGTACAATGCCAATCGGCAGGGGTTCTCGGAGTGGAGTTGGCGGGGTAATAGGAGGGCTGACGAGCAGGTCCGACGTCGGACCCAGGCCCAGCCCCACAACTCCAGGACCTGAGAGACGTTCAAGGCCGTTGAGCCGCTTGTCAGGCAGTCTGCCTGGTCCATCGCCGAGATGAACGAAAGGTTGTCTGGTTTGGTTTTCCCGACGTTTTCCCCCGTCGGGTCAAGACATGTCTGCTAGAGGTGGTTCCAGGTCCTGAGGGACGCGAAGGTGTCTTACATGTGCATGCACTGCGGCGAGCCGGGGAAGTTTCGTGCCGCGGTCAGAGTGTTTCCCTGCGGTGGGCTGCCTAGGTTTGCGCGGAGCAGTCACTCTTCCCACAGGATGTGGTTGATGGGGAGTCGTGTCGCTTGGTGTGTCCGATGCGGTGCGTTCGGGAGCTCTCGATCTCTTCCGTACCTCTTCCAGGATTGCCACAAAGCTCCGCGTAAGCGCCACTCAGATGGGTCTCTTCGAATGTTGAAGGGCGGGGTCGACCTTGTGACCCAAGTGCGAGAAAGTACTTAGGGCGATCGGTCCCGCTCGTCCGGCAGGGCGCCTGCTGGGTGTCCATGGAGACGGCACCGCCTGCCAGATGACTTGTTTCAACTTTCCCCCCCCCCCAGCGCTGCTTTTCGCCACCTGGTTGCAGGACCCCGCCAGCAGTCACGGACGGCATCGGAGCAAAGAGGAGCCAACAGGAGCGCTCAATCTCCTCCTCCTCCTCCTGCTCCCGAGCGCACGTTCGCGGAGGAGGAGGAGGAGGAGGAGGAGGAGGGCCTTGAACGGGCGGTGGGCAGGGCGCCTTTCGGGTGGTGGCCCCCGTGGCAGGAAGGGGCAGAGCCGAGCGCTGCAGACGTACGAGTTCGTGGCCTGGTTCGAGCCGGCACAGGACCCCTTGCGAGAGCAGGTCGCCGTCGTCGCCGCCGCCGCCGCGGCCGCCGCCGCCGCCCCCATCGCCGCCGTCGTCGTCGTCGTCGTCGTCGGCGTCCTCGCCGTCGTCGTCGTCGTCGTCGTCGTCGTCGTCGTCGTCGTCGTCGTCGTCGTCGTCGGTCGAGGAGGATGAGGAGGAGGGGACGGAGGAAGAGGAACGACGGGGAGGAGGAGGAAGAGAAGGAGGAGGACCAGGTAAATCCAAGACTCACCAACGATGTTGGAATACACCCTCTCTCCCTCTTCACCGGCCCCTACAAGGTGTCATTCCCACTGGGGAAAGTGCCCCATTGGGAGAACCGTTTGAAGATCCAGAAGCGTGCCAAAACACCATTCTCGGGACCCAACGCTACGAATCAACCTGATTGCGTCGTCTTGACGATCCTGACTCGCGCCAGACCACCATTCCTGGGATTTCAAGTCCGCGAATCAACGTGACTGTTGCGCCCTGACAATCCTGACCCCCTCCAAAACACACGTTTTGATACACTGACCATAGGAAGCCGTGAAACTCCTGCAACTGTTTAAGACGAGTGTGCGCGGCGCAAGGCGAGATCCACATGTTGAAAAGGAACCGTCCTCAATCCGTGAAACTCTTGCAGTTGTTATAAGAAAACGATTGTGCGTGGCGCTGAGGCGAGAGTCACATTTTGAGAACGACCCGCCATCCATGTGTGCGCGGCGCCAATGCGAGAGCACGACGAATGGTCGTGGCGCCAAGGCGAGAGCCACATGTCGAAAGCGACCCCGCCCTCCATCGGTGAAGCTCTTGCATTTTTGTAAGACGAGTGTGCGCGGCGCTAAAAGGTGAGAGCCACGTTTTCAAACGACCCGCCCTCCGTTTGTGAAGCTGCTGTCACTTCGTAAGCCCCAGGGTCGGACATGGTAAGGAAGTCTCAGGTGAGACGTCTGGCCCGCCCTTCCGACTGGCCTCGGGGTGCCAAGGGGAGGAGTTGTTCATAAGGACAAGGGATGGAGGAGGAGGAGGATGAGGAGGACGAGGAAGAGGAAGAGGACGAGGACGAGGAGGAGGAGAAGGAGGAGGAGGAGAAGGAGGAGGAGGAGGAGATGGAAGAAGAGGAGATGGAGGAGGAGGAGGAGGAGGAGGAGGAGGAGGAGGAGGAGGAGGAGGAGGAGGAGGGAGGAGGGAGGAGGAGGAGGAGGAGGAGGAGGGGTGCGACAGGGAGGAGTTAAGTTACTCATAAGGAAGAAGAATTAAGCCCCCCCCCCTGTTCGGAGGAGCCAGCTGAGGCCCCGTCCCTCCCCGCCCCTTCCTCCTGGCCAGGGGCAATGACAAGGGGGGCTGGGATAGGGGATGTGGGGGGGAGGGGATGGCGGATGTCAGTGGTGGCGGGGCGGGGGTAGGGTCGGATCGGGAGAGGCTGGGCGCGCAGTGGAAGTGCCCGAGCGGGCCTCGACAGAATCTCGGTCTCAGAAGATTGTCCTTCCCTTCGTCGCGACCTTCTGCACAATAGGCAGTTTTCGACGCTCGGATGCAGTCTCTGAGGGTTAAGGAAGTCTCATCATGAGTGTTTAGGTTCTTTGTTCCCCAACCAGTGCTTGCACTGAAGGGGTCCGGGCGGAGATTGAAAGATTTGGCGAAAGCACCAGGCCGATTTCGGTGGGCGGCCGGGCTCCCAGGTTCACGGTTCCGGGGTCCCGGTTCCGCGTTCCGGGCCGATTTTGTTGGGCGGCGGGGTTCCCTGGTTCCCGGGTTCTTGGTCGATCTTCTTATCGATCGCTCTCACCATCGATCTCATCACCCACCTCTCTATCGATCTCACGATCGATCTCACAATCGATATCACTGCTGATCTCACAATCGATCTCACTAGCGAGCGCACGGGCGATCTCACGATCGACCTCACCATCGATCTCATTGAAACAACTTCACTATCGGTGTCACGATCGACCTTATAATTGTTCTATACTATCGATTACACTATCAATCTCACTATCGATATCACAACCGATTTCAATATCCACTGATTGGGATGTTTCTCTGGTGTAATTTGCGTGTCTGGATTTCCAGGTTATCCAACACTCGGATGCGTTTGTGGATCCGCGGATGTTCAGTCCAGAAGGTCAATTCGACATTCGGCTGAATTGATTCACAACATTTTCGTAGCCAACCTCATCACCAGTCGCATTATATCGCGCAGGCCTGATGCGTGCACGCTTTGATTCGCAAACTCGTGTCTTCGGCTTGGGGTGGTGAGGTGCCGCGCTTGCTGCAGTGCTCCTCCTGGATACTGGGCAGGGGCGGACAGCAGGTGTAAGCATAGGTTCTTGGCTGTGCACGCCCATCACATGCGCGGTGTCGTCGGCGGCGTCGGAGCGCAGCGGCGCATATGCCCATGGCAGGAGGAGTGGTACCACTGTGGCCAATTCTGCTACTGACCTATTACCTGCTTCTCCTCCTCCGCCGTCTTCGGCAGGAAAAGTGCAGGATCATCGTGACTTCGACGATCGGTCATATCTTCGGCCTGGACTTCGACCAGCGCTGGGGGGACCTAGCCGAGATGTTTCACGCGCCGGTCACGCCTCCTGGGGCTCGCACCTGGAAGCTTGCGTCCAGAGTTCGCGTTTGAGCGTCTGTGGTTCAAGCGTGACCCAGGCGCATACGGTCGCGACGCGGCCATCGTTTGTGTTGGTGCAGAAGCATGACACAGATCACCAACGTGCAAGTTCTGTAGCCGAGATTGATTGATGCCACTTGCCCTCCCCCCTCGCAAGATAACCCGGGATACTCCTGACAGGTCACTGCCTGTCTTGACGCTGCGCGAGGCGCTCGAAGGTCGAGGCCTGAAGTTCTAGGTTCTCCAGCGTTTTTCTTCGTGGGGTCCCGGAGCCTTCGCCAGCCTCCAGGTGCAGCTGTGCCTCGCCGAGAGAGCTCCTGAGGTTCCGCTCTCTGTTTCGCCACGTGATGCTGCTGCTGCTCTTCCTCGTCCTCCCCTCCCGTGGCGAGGGCTGAAACGGCGAACAAGTAGACCGGCCCTTTCCGGCAGGCCTGCCTGAGGACAGCCCGCATGGTGGCCTACCTTCCACTCCAGCGGAGCGCTGCGGCGAAACACCCAGACAACTTGCGCTAGAGCCCCACTAAGGACAATGGTGATGAGGCGGAGGTGGAAGAGGAAGAGCAACATCAGGAGGAGGAGGAGCCTCCCACCTGCCCACCCCCATCACTGAATCCTCTGCCTCATCCTCATGCTCATCCTCCTCATCCTTGATCATCATCCTCATTGTTCGAATGGAGTCTGGCACTGCGAGAATCCACTTCATGGTCAATGGAGCTGTCTGACAGAATCTGGGAGGGTTTTTGCCGCACCTGCCTTCACAGTGCGCATTTCACAGACAAGTTGCCTGGCCACGCATGATTCCACGGCCAGTTGCTCTTGTTATTCATCTGCCTACACTTCCATTGCGAGGATTGAAACTGCGTCCATGCGCAGCAGCGGAAACATACAGTTACTCGCAGGTGTATTTATGTTTGTGTAGACGTACACCCCTCGCCCTAGCTCGCCTGAACCGTGCCTTCAGGAATAAGCCGCACGGTGTTCCAAAATTTTAGTTTAGTCGGACAAGGTGATTGAATCGCTTCGCTCATTCCTCCGGCCCATTTCGCATGCCTGAGCCGCGCATATCCGCCACCGCGCTTGTGGAAGACGCGTAGCTGGGCAGCAGCGGGGCGAGAGTGGCAAGATGGCCCGAGAGACCTCTGCAGACTTTCGAGATTAGCCGGGGCTGTCCAGGAGGGCCGAAAAGTTTCGAAAGGGATTCTGCCACCGTGCCTTGGTAGAAGGTTAGAGTCCTCCTGGGTACGCTCGGGGTCGCTTCGGAGAGCTCTAGGCAGTTTCTTAGGATGAAGTGTTGATGATTATTTTTGGGGCCTCTTCGGAGCCTTGCCGGATTTGGGGACTTTTGGGGGTTGTGGTGGGCTCTTAAACGCGTCGGGTCGTTGGCATTTGCTTGCGTGCTGGAGGGGACATTTGGGGAGCCTCTTGGGGCCGCTGGGGAGCCTCTTCAGCGTCGCTTGGGGGCCTCCTGAGGGCCTCTTGGGGGCTTTTGGGGCCTCTCAGGGGCCTCTTGAGGCCTCCTGGGGGCTGTTTAAGGCCGAGGGCTCGAAGTTTTGTTTTGTGTTCCCCCTTTGGGGCATCGCTTGGGGCCCTCTTGGGTCCCTCTTGGGCCGTCTTGGATGCCTCTGGGGCCGTCTTGGAGCCCTCTTGGGCCATCTTGGGGCCTTCTTGGGAGCTTCTTGGGCCCTCTTGGGGCGATCTTGGGGGCCTCTTGGGCCGTCTTGGGGCGTCGGGAAGCCGAAAAGATGGACACGCCAAAATCTGCCCAAAACCTAAGGAAAAGTAATGAATTTTGCCTCTTGGGGCCCTCTGGGGAGTGCTCTTGGAGGCCTCTTGGGGCGTCTGGGGGCCATCTTGGGCGTCTTGGAACGATCGTGTGGCATCTCGGAGCACTCTTGAACCATCTTGGAGGGCTCTTGGCGGCCTCGTGGCCCTTCTTGGGGCTCTCTGGAGGGCCACGGGGGCGGCGCCCAGGAGGAAAACCATCTCTGACCCGAGTCTGCCGGGGATCGCCCGGGGTACTTTTCGTCCGGGGACCCCCAGGGGCCGCCCCGCGCGCGAAGTAGAAGTATTATTTAGCAGTTACCGGAGATCTTAGCACGCCTCTGGCCCGTTGGGCCGGCGAATTTTTCTGCTCCATGCGCAAGGTCCAAGTCAGGTAGAATGAACGTGCAGATTGCGCGCAATGGGTCCAGAATGTTTGGCGCTGGTTTTAAGTAAAACCTTTGGTTGTTGCTGTTGTTGTGTCGTAGAGTTAATGTTGTTTCGGTTGTTCTCTCTCTCTCTCTCTCTCTCTCTCTCTATACATGTATACATGTAGGTATGAGAGAGGGTGGCATCGCGGCGAAGCAGCGAGCAATCCGGCAATATACGGAATACGCTGCAGAGCGCATCGTATTTTAAGGGCACGGCGCTCTCGAGGTCCCGGGTGCGGACCCCGAGACAAGTGTGCGCCACTCGGGCGCTTGGAAATCATGGTCAGCCTGCTTCGCTCCAGAGCAGTGTCAGTGCGCTGCCATGCTCGTTCTGCTGACCAGTTGCGAGAGGAGGGCGCATTCAGCAGCAGAGTATCAAAAGGTAGTATGCTAAGCATAATTGGATACTATTCGAATGTGCAGCAGCTGGTGGTGCCGCCAGTCGGCCTGAAGACAATTGGGCGTCACACGAGCGCCTTGAGCTTGATCTTAGTCTGTCTGTTTTCGTTTTGTACTGCGAGAGTGCGCAGGGAGACGAAACGTCGCCTTATGCGCCCCCCAGAGGGCCCAACTACAGCGCCAAAAGGCGCCTGGAGGGGCTCAATATTGCCTACCTCAGCTTACGAGTGATCCACCAACATCCCAAGGCGGCCCAGGATAGTCCCGAGCATGTCCCTTACCACAGCCCCAAATGCACCCACGAGGCCCCACGTGGCTTCGGGCTATCCCTCGTTGTCCCAAGAAGTCTGGCGCCTTCCGCGCTGCCGCGTGCTCGGCCCTTGTATGAAGCCTGCGCTAGCTGAGAGAGCGTGGTGTGAAGCTTGCGCTGGCTGTGTGACCCGCCTCGCCACGATTTCGTGCAAAGTACCCGCGGGCATCGCACGGGAAGAACGCCAGGACTTCTACCCGTCCTTCGATCCCATTGCTGTGAGCGACCGGCTTGGGCTCTCCCGTCGTCACCTAGGGCGCTTGCTCGCCGCCTCAGCATCTGAGACATCTGTGTCCTCGCTGGATACGTGTGTGCGCGTGTGGGCGTCGGCGTGCAACTCACGCTTGTGCACCCCGCAGGCCGCGACCCCGACTGTAATGCACGCAGTGTGGGTTTGTGTGACTATGTGTGTGCTCGCGCGCTCGATGCAGCCTCACTGGGCACCTGTGCACGGTAGCGATATACACAGAGAGAAAGGGAAGGTCAAGAAAACCATCGAGTCCCACGTGGCCAAGAATCGGGTGGTAGAGCACATCCAGGAGCTCGCCGGGGAGTCGGAGTACATGGCGCTGTGGCTCGACTGCGACCGGGAGGGGGAGAACATCTGCTTCGAGGTCCCACAGCTTCGCCTGCGCCCGTCGCCGGCGTCGTCGTCGTCGTCGTCGTCGTCGTCGTCGTCCCTCTCCTCCTCCAACCTCCGCGTC